AGATGCAGAATCTATGACAAAGTTGCACTTTTGGCCATCCAGCTTCCCTGTCACGTAGGCATTATGTGTACTTGCCATTTTACACTTAGCTGTTGGGACTTTCACAATGGAGGTTGGTGGGCATCCCTTAGCACCAGCCACTACTGGTTTCCCGAAGCTGACTTATTGGTAGTATTCTTCTTATACTGGCTCCTCATATGTCCTTGCTCTCCACAGTTCCAACAACCTTTTTGGGTAGCAGCCTTTCCTGCTGTGGCATCTTCCCTGTGTTGAAGTTGCCAGCATTGAGCTCTCTTGTGTCCAGGTTTATTAAAGTGCCAGCAAAGTCCCTCAAACTTCTCTGAAAGCTGCCCTTTTCTGGCCTTGAATCCTGATGACTGTACCAACCCTGGTGTGTGCTGGACTTAACGTAGGATTCAAATTCGAGAGCTCTGGCCATTGCATCCTGCATAGTAGAGGGATGTGCTTGCTTCACTTGTATCTTCAGTTGTGGACTGTCCAAGGCATCTACAAATTGATCCCTCAGCAACAACTTGAGGATATCGGGTGGCACAGTTGGATAGGCCTTGTGTGCCATACTTTCCAAATTCTGTGCCAGCTCCTGCAGGCTCTCCCCTTTAGCACGGACTCTCGTCCTAAACCTAGCCCTGTAGACTTCAGACTGATTTTGGGTTCCATACCCGAGTTCTAGAGCCGCTACCAGTGCTCTATAGTTGTGCCTGTCGTCTGCTGACAACTGTCCAAGTATTTCCAATGGTTGTCCCTTCAAGCTCGTTGCCATATATACTGCTTTCTGTTCCTCTGTCCATCCATTCATTTCTGCCAGGAGCTCAAATTGTGCTCTATATGCCTGTGGCTTCCTTCGTACTAGATCACCCCTATTGCTGACATTCATATCTGGGATGTGACTTCTAACAGGACTGAAGATGTCTGCATTAGGGTTTAGCTGCAGGGTCTGGAAGGGGCTTGCCATTGTCTGGGTCTAATTAAGTCGATGGTTAATGTATCTTCCTTGTGTAAAAGATAATAAATCATCCTTTAATGTATTTAATTCGCTTTGAAATTTACTAATGTTTTCCATTTGTACTTTTTGCCACTGTTGTTGACTTTCCCATAGTTGCTGCTAACTTTCCTGCAACTGTTGGAGATTTTCTTCCTGTTTCCTTTCGTGTTCCAGTTGCCACTGCTGTAGTCTCTCTTCTTGTTTATTTTCTTTCTCCTCCAACCACTGCTGTAGCCTCCCTTCTTGTTTCTTTTCTTTTTTCCTCCAACAACTACTGTAATCTCTCTTCTTGTTTTATTTCTTTATCCTCTAACAACTGCTGTAATCTCTCTTCTTGTTTCTTTTCTTTTTCCTTCAACAACTGGTGTAATCTCTTTGTTGTTTATTTTGCTGTTTGAGCTGCCACTGTTGCAAGTTTTTCTTGCCACTGCTGTTGTCTCTTTTCTTGTTTATCTTCTCGTTCTTCTTGTTTCTTTTGCTGTTCTTGTATTGCTGCCATCAAATCTACTAAGCTGTAGTTTGATTTGCCACTTCTCGTTTCCATCTTTTTTTTTATCCCACTTCTGACACTAATTTGTTACGTCTCTGCTCGTTTGATAATTTCCGGTAGAAATTCTTCCTGACAAACTTCAGCGATACAAGTCCATTCTTAAATAAAACTAGTTTATTCTTTCTCAGTACAACTTTACAATACATTTAATTTCCACAGTCACTTAAACACACCCTATAATTCTCAACGAATGATTCACGCACTTTAGTTACTACCGCGCTTGACTCAATTGTCCGTCTATATCTTCAACCTCTCTGTCCGCTATTCAGTTCCAATTCATTGTTTGGCGCACTTATATACAAGAATAGAGGGCGCCTAGCAAATACTGGATTATTCGTGATGTTCCCCAATATTTCCAGAACTCATTACGTGTTACCAGCGTCACGTGACTTCCGCTGTCGTAACAGAACATTGTTTTCTTAGTGCATGTTATTATTCTGTGTTCTTAGTGCATTATTTAAGGAAATAAATGAGGGCTCACCATAGTTTTGTATAAAGTTACAATAGCCTTGTTAATATTATGTTTAGAATTCTTTTACACTAGCCAAAGTACCCAGCATTGCTCAGATTATTAGATTGATATATTACTGGTAAATTGTGTCTATGTGTGTATTTTGAGCCTATTTTAGATATTTTTATTTTTTACACTTTTTTATTTATGTCTGAACTCTTATTGCAGAATCATTAACATTTTCCCACTGTTTTGTTTGCAGCCTTTTCCAAAAGTTAATTGAATTCAAGGTTTTGAAAGCAATAACATTAATTTGAATTTTTACACTCTATTTCTTTCATATCTTCCACTAATACAGATGGAAAATAATTTCAACTATATTTTCAGTTTTTTTGGCCTAGTTGGCACTGTGCCATTTCTTGAATTTAAAAAAACAGAATGCAAAATTCATGTGCCAAAATTCTTTAACTGCTTTGTTTGATATCATTTCCCAAATTTTATATATTTAAACCTTTTCTAGTATTCTGAGGGTCTATTCCATGTGTCCTGATGCTTTTCACCAGCTAAGAAATGTTTGGCCCTTACCCTATTGAATTTTGTTCATTCTTGGTAAAATACATCCATTTATTCCCAAATTTTGACAGATTTAACAGTATTTGACAGAAAACTTCCACATATTGTTCATTCAGTAAGCAAGAATTAAAAAAAAATTATAGTTTTCTATAGACATTCAGGAAGCAGAGTTATGGAGCTTAAGGGCTATAAGACAAAAAATTGGCCAAACATTTTTTTTTGTCAAATCTAAAAAAAAATACCTACGTGCTGTCAGAATTTGAAATATATAATTTTTCTTCCACTAATTGTAAAATTTAAAAGGCTTTTAGTTATATTTCTTAATAGTATAAAAATATACTGTGTTGTTGTTGGGCTTAGCATTCTTCTACAGTAGGTGTCTATGACTTATTAGTGATAAATTCAATGATAAATGAACAGCACACACTTCACTTGTTTTCAAAATAATATATATATATATATATATAATCGGAACAAGTTAAACATGTACAACAAATTCTTCACACTATAGAGATTACAGGCATATCATAAATACTATATATATATTTCTCTTCTTCTTGTCAAAAGTCCACTTAGGCCTATTCAATTACTTTAGAATTTCAGTTGACAAGCTGAACTATCTTCTATATTACTATCATACTAGTACTTTCTGTGATTCACTTACAATTGTGGCACGAGTTACCGTAATCATTTGGTCTTCTTTCTTCTGAAGATCCTCTGTTCTTTTTGTCAAAGCGTACTCAGGCTGATTCAATTACTTTAGAACCATTCTTTAATGGAATAAACTATTTTTCTTCTCTCCTTTTCTACTGTTAGTCTTACTCTAACATATTATACATGAAGCCTATCACTTCTATGGTACTTAACTTCTTGTCGAAACTTTCCTTTTGTAACTTTACTTTCTTCTGCTGTTTCCCCTTGTCTCATGCTATTTATATCTTTATCACCCAATCGGCTGTCTGCCTTCTATATTCTCAATGTCAATGTATTGCACGCAATGTTCAATGGTCTCAACATCAATTGATTATTAACAAAATCTCCTACAATTGTCTGCTTTTAACTTTTATTACAACAAAAGCTAAACAATAATAAAATATTCACTCACAAAAACAAATCAATCAATAACATCTAAACTAAACAGTCTTTTATATTATGACAGGTGCACACCCTAAGAATCCCCTTACTTTGCATGCAAAGTTTCTGGTATCTAGATTCTTTCCTCTTGAGCTATGGTGGTCACACACACACACACAGGCTTTTTTATTATTATAGATAACACCAAAAACCACATTGTCTCTTTTCATTACAGCTAAACACTCATCTGAGAAAAAAAGGGTTTTATCAACATAATAATCTTTCTTTTTTCTGCAAAACAAATGCTCCTTTCACACAATTAGTTTTTACCATCTTTACCACAAGAGCATAACTTTAAATGTCTTAACATTAAAATTTATCTTCCACAGACTAGCACATCTACTAAAACCGTCAAAGTCCTTTAAGCTAAGAGAAGCATTGTGAACAAAATGGACCCCTACCCAGACTTTTAGTATTGTCAGTAAATTTGTAATTTATATTATTCTAAGTCATTAACATAAATAGTGAGCAACAGAGACCCTACAACAAATTTCAAAGGGACCCCACTAATAATATTTTCTGAGTTTAAAAAAATGCCCATTTTTCAACATTTATCAGATGCCGATTTGTTTAAAATCGTTTTTTGGTCAAATTGCTGTGGAATAGTTTGTATGAGAACATAGTATACTTAATTAGTTTGAGTTTAAAATCTCTACTTGATAGAAATACAAGTCTTAAAGGTTACATTTAATTTGGTTTTGGTATTCTGGTTGGCTGTTTTGGCAGGTGAACGATGACCTCAATAGAACAAATAGATTCTGTCACCTTTCTTACTTAATTTGGAATATAATACTTTGACAGATTATTCTACTGAGTGAAAGGGCAACCTTGAACTGCCACATAGTCTTTGTTACCTTAATTTAATATTTTCTGTTTATTACACAGGCTTCTGTTAAAATTTTCTTTCCATTCTGTTTTCTCATTTGCTTAGTTTTTATAACAAAAAGTTATATAAAAAAAGACCATTGTGAAATTAAAACATGTAGGTTCAAAAAATCAATTTAAGACAAAAGTACATAACTATAACTTGAGTGCTTCCAAAAGGTGGACCATTCTTTGTCAGGGGCAAGTTTACCCCTGATAAAGAATAATCCATCTTTTGAAAGTGCTCGAGTTATAGGCCTTTGTATTTTTGTGAAAATAAAAACTATATAAGCAAGGAAAAATAACTGGTGCATCTCATATATTTTTTATATTTATGTACAAATGTCTGAATCTTATAACTTACCTATTGTATTTTCTTTTATATTGTCATGAATCGGGGAAACCTCTGGAAGTGGCTCAGGATTTTGCATATTTGATCTCTCTGATGGAAATATCCTGTCAAAAACAGAGGAAAATGTCAATCTTAATTTCTGCAATTCTAGTTTCAAAAAATAATACTACCAAAAAAGAAATTATTGTACAACAAATGATTTTTTGTTGATTTTCTTTTCTCATAACAAGTTGATCAACTTATGGAATAAGTTACTGTTGGAAGGAAGTACAGTAGGTTGTCACTTTACAAGACTTTAATATGGGGAATAAATGAGTTCTGAAAAACAAAGGGTGGCTTTACATTCTTACTTTTCTAAAGGATGTATGTGCAAGGACAGCCTTAAAATACCAGATAGTTCCTTGTTGACCATATTTTATGTTAAAAAGGTTTTAAACCTGTGACTTATCTCAACTACTTATCATATACATTCTTCAGATTGAATTCCATATTTTACCTACATGTAATGCAGATACATCTAATTCTACCAGCTTTGAAATCAATTTGAAGTTTAAACATACAATTTTTTTTTTTTGGTTCTTATCTTTAACATATTCATAGAGTTTCAAACAAAATACTTAAATGATATATGTTATTCACCTATGTTATTTATGAATTTGAATTTTTATTAGAAAAATTTTCAGATAATCAGGACAAAAATGTTTTTAACTTTGCAAACCTCACTTGAATTCTATAGGTTTCGAACAATGTACATGCCTTAAAATAGCATTGCTATTACATGGTATTTTTCAGTTATCTCAATCACTGTGTCAGAAACCTACTATTTTTACTAGCCTTTTTTGCCATTCTTCTTCTTCAACTTGGTTTGAGTTTTTTGATGGACAAAATTTCTTTAATTCTTAAATCCCGATCATTATTGGAACTAAATATAATACTGAAATTTTCTTCATGTGCAGTTCCAATCACATTCCCAGTCAAGATGTCTTAAAAATTACTGGAACTAGCTTTAATATGCTCTTGGTACATAGCTGAAAACAAAGTGTGGTCGATCTCACGCAATCTTGTCCATTTCATGAAAAAACATATTCATAGCCAATGTGAGTATTGAAATGTTAACATTTTCCTTATCTGAAAGTGTATTTCAGATAGTTACTCATTTTCTACACAACAAAGAGCTATTACCTTGCACCATTACAGAGAAGATTTTTCCACTAAAAGCCTTGAATGAAGCTCCCACCCTTATGCTTATTAATGTGTACTATGCCAGCCTATGATGTAATCATCATTAGTTATAACCCTCCATAAAAAGAAGGGTGATATTTCCTCTATGCACAGTAATCCCCATAAGCATTAGCATTGGAATAAAGGTGCATTCTTGATTAGACAAAGTAAATATGATGGAAGTTGAGGGGAAGGGTGGTAGGTTGTGAAGAGGTGAGTAACTATGTGAAATTCATTTATAGGTAAGGAAAATGTTAACTTCAGAAATGTTTACTCAATTCTCTGCCCAATAAATTCCTATAAGTCCACATTGAGAAGATGGTGGAGGGGCTAGTGTAGATAAAGAAATTACAAAGATAAGTTCCTTTCTGAAAAAAAAGGAAAAAAAAGGATCTGAATGGGAAAACTAATGAAGCATGTTACTCATTAGGGGAAGAGGTTGCCTAGTGGGGTATCACTTGATGGGAGACTACATCTATCTCAAACAGGGAATATATTCTTTGCTCAGTAGAGTTGATAGGGTAAAATAAGGGTACACATATGTGGGCAGAATATAAGATTGCTTAATCAATCATTATCTCACAGGCAATTGACTGAGAACGAGTATGTGACAATAAGTCAGGTTGTTTCATTTTGGAGGTACTTACAAAAGATGTTTATCAAAAATAATCAGATGCAAGAAGAAAATGTTCCAGACCTGCATCCTAAGGAGAACACCTGTTTGGCTTAACCACTGGGAATGGCTTCGTTCATAGTATAATAAGGGAGCTTGTACTACACTTCCAGTTAACACCCTACTCCTACTTTCCACTGAGGGTGGATTCAATTAGTGTCATATTAGTGGGATTACACTGACCAAATGGGGCACTCTCCATAAAGAGTTCCTCAGTTGCTTGGGATGAAGAAAGCAAGGGTTCTCCTCCCTACTCTACTAGAAGAGAACAGGAAAGTTGAATATGCACTGGGGGTGAGGTTCTTGGAGAGAATGGAAAGATCACAACTGTACAAGGTCTTATAATGATAGTGTGTACAAGAGTTACTGCAAATACAGATAGCAGGCATGAGCCAGGTGTGAGGGCAGGCACAGACCTGGGGTTGCCCTTTTTATTTTTTTGTGAAGTATGACCTGGAAGATAAAATATGTACACATTTCCAAAACAGTCTTTCAGAATACCCCATCTGAACAGTGGGCATAGAGTATGGACAGATGGGCTTAACACTTTCTGTACTCCCCTATTCAATATGGATTTTGAGGAAGATGTATATTTCCTGTGAGATATTACTGGCTGCTTGGTGGGTTCCATCATCTCTAGTATATATATATACATGAACATATAATAATAATAATAATGATGACAGAGTTTTAAAAAGGAACAATAACAAAAACAATATATACTCACCTTGCTAGTCTTTGGGAAGACTAGAGAATTGCAACTGGAGGTAGATGAAATCCACACACCATGTGATGCGAGTAAAGGAACACAAATGTGCTAGGGGTCATACTCATCCCTACCTGTAAAATCTTACCCAACAATGAGAGGGAAGAGAAGCTGTGAAATGATGAACCTAATGGGAGATTATGAAAGCTAACAGGTACCTCTCATGTAGAAAAATAAACAAGCCTGATGACAAACCCAACTGGTCAAAGTAGTAGCAGATAAATTATTAAAAGAAAAGAGATCCTACAATAAGAAAAAACATTGTTAATTGTCCTGAAAGGGAGCAGTATAAGTAAGATGACAAGAAGTACAGGGCAAAAGAGACAAGCAGGGTCAGAACAATTGCACTGGGAAGAAAGGGAAGGCAGGCTGAATAGAGAAAACATCCAAACACACTTCTAAGGAGTCCAAGTTTTGGGGAGGAAGGAGCAGGCAGAGAAGATTAACATGTCTCTATGGTATATAGCGTGGGAGGCATCCAAGGCAAAAAAGTGAGAATGAAAACTCTCACAAGCAAGGAGAAAATATGCCTGAAGCATACAAAAAAAAAAAAGACTGGACAACTCTAGACACAGAGCTTCTTCTGCCAGAGCTGTAGAGTCTGGGATTGGAGACCAAAACAGTGGAAGCTGGGTATTGAGAACAAGCACTTCTCTATTAGTAGATGCAAAAAATAAAAGAGGTGTCTGAATGGATCATGATAAGAAAACCAGACCTGACAGATGAAACTGAAGATGATAGCAAGCCTGCTGAGAAGCCAATATCATGCGGATGTAGATATACAAAAACTGCTCCACCAAAAACCAGATCCTGGAAGTAGATCAGGTGTTCAGAACTACATCCTACTTGAATAGAGACATTGGTTGACAGGTTTTGGGATTACTGTACACCTTTCTGTTGGTGCAGGGTTATAATCTGATGATGATTACATCATAGGCTGGTGCAGTATATTTTAATATATGTAGACATGCGAGCTCATTCAATGCTTGAGGCATGCACAAAAATCTCCATGGCAGCAGCATGCTGTAATAGCTCTCTGTTGTGCAGAGAGGTGAATAAAAGTTTCTGAATATCATTAATACTGACTTTAAAATTAAACACGCTGAAATATGTGGATAGTTTAATTTCAAATATTTTTGACATTATTCCTCCTCAAAATGTATTTATCTCTTATCCATAAATGGAAAGCTGACATACAATTAGCTTAGGAACGCCATAACTCGCTTTACAACAGGTGTCCACACCATTTATTAACAGGCTGTTTTTAACAATTTCTATGTCTTTATAAAAATAATAATAATCATTGGCAACAGGATAAACTAACTCTACAGATTAAAATATTTATCCAACTGAACTTATACTTAAAAGGTATAAAGCTGTCATTATGACTGTACAATCCTTTATAAGTTGGTTTATGACATACTCTCATTTCTAAATGATCACTAAAATTGTTAATACCAAGACAAGAAAAAGAAAACTTTGAGTCTTTAACTGTAAACTTGATCCTAAGATGGTGTTTGTTTAAACAATCTAAAAACTAGAAAAAGGAAATTGGTGGAATTTGATAACTGATTAATCATTTGGCTCATTAATTAGATATATTCATCTAACTGAATATTCTCACATGAACATGTGTAATTGTAATAATCAAAAATATTAATTTCAATTACTTGATTATTTTCATGAGTCGTGACACTAATCAATTAATTAAATTGAACAATCAAAACTAATAATGAGAATCATAATGTCAAATTTCAATTACCCAAATAGTTGAAAGATCAAAAATAGTAATAATTGGAAAGACTACTTTCAATTATATGATTACTTTTGTGACATTAAAGTATTTAATCATAATTTTGACCAATTATTCTATATGACTCTAACTTTTAAAATCAATGTTCAAAGGCTATTAATTAATCAAATTTATCACTCAGCTTTACTGAGAACAGATTTTAAAGCTGAGCAATTAGTGGTATTTGTTAATTGATTAATCAACAGGCTCATCAATCAATTAGTATGCCACACCCCCTACAACCTGTACAAACAAGAAAGGTATGTGTTAACATATTAACCTTTTCTAATACTGCATTATTTTAACATGGTATTAATTTTCCTGTTTTCTTTTACACTGATTTAGTTTGGTTTGTTTTGAATTTCACATAAAGCTACATGAGGATTATCTGTGCTTACACCAATTTGTTTTTTGTAAAGTAATTTTTTAATCATGCTTGATTTCATATGATAGTCCTCTTCTGAAGGTTGCCATTTGGGTATTTGTGGAAAAAAAACATTTCCCATAAGTTTTATGGTCATTTCCTACTTGGTGGATGGATCTCTTATGACAACTGAATACCACGAAGCAATCCCCATTATTTGTTTATCAAACATGCAGTAATCCCACACTGATTTTTAAAATCAAATACACTGATAATTAAATAATGAAA